ACATTCCGTTCCCCTCGGAAGGGGGGGGAGTTGCAGATTTTAAGAATGCAGAACCATTTAAGCAAAAGAGACGATAAAATAGGCCAACCAGAAGAGTTTTTGGAAGATGTCCCTCATTTGAATTCAAAAAATCATTTGGTCGTCCGCTTTTGGATATGGCTCTTACTGTCACAGTATTTAAATTTGAGCATTTACTTTCGATGCTTAGGCATTGATAAAGCGCTGTCATTCACACATAAAGTTATGGAGAGATCACTAGCTTCAAAGGAAAGATTCCCTCTGTTAGTCGTTCCTTTCACATTTACTCTATATTAACTGTGACAGGGGTGTGTAGTAGACTTACCTCCACGTGGTACAACCTGGATAGCGTATACTCATAAGGCAAAAAAGTCTATTAACTGTCAGTTGACTTCTGACTTCTAACTACCATCACCCCACTGTATGCCATATTCCACCATTTCAGCAGATCTCGCCTTGACTTTTGCTCAACATTTGTGCCTGTCTGTCTCTTTTACATCTTTAAATCACTCTTCTGTCTCCCCCCCCCTCTCCACTTTTTCTCCCCTTGATGTTCCTCCTCCCCTCTGTGAAGCCTAAAGTCCGCAAAAGGTCTAATGATAAGTAACATTTATTTATTTATATCAAATGACAGGTGTTTTGATAGTTATTATTAGCCCTGTAGCTGACTTCGGGGCTTCATGAAGAGGAGAAGGGACATCAAAGTGACAAAAAGTCGAGATGGGAGACAGAGTAATGATTCACAGAAGTAAAAGAGACAGACAGACACAAAGGCATAAAAAGGTAAGATGAGTGCTGTGAAAGGGGTCGAATATGAAAAATAGTCGGGCCATAGAAATTTGAAGTCAGAAGTCAATTGGCGAGCAATAGACTTTTTGCCGTGTAAGTACACGTTGCCCAGGATGCACCACGTGGAGGTAAGTCTATTGCGCACCCCATGATAAGTAACATAAAGCCCGCTGTTTGAAATAAATAAAAATGTGACAGAGATGGCTGAGCATCACCTAAACGACAGAGTTGGCTCGATGTAAAAAGACATACTTAAGCAGTAAGAGGGTACCCGAGACATGAAAATTTCACTAGTGGCAGTGATTTAGTTTAATTTTGTCATCAGCTAAAGACACCCTAACGTGGTAGGTCTCTAAAAGAGTGGGTGACTCAAGGAATAAAAAGAGGACTCCATAAGGCATTATTTCAACTGAGTTTATGACCCTACCTGGATGCCAACTTTTCACATTTTTGTAGCTGACAACTTGCTAGTGTAAAATCAGCCTTAAGAACTATCGAGCAAGGCACTTTAAGGACTGAACCAAATAATGACCACATATGCCCTTGCGGAATTAATGATCATCTAAGATACAACAATCCTTCCAAAGCTAGAAGGCCAAAATTTGAATTGGACAAGAGTAGGAGAGGAGTAAGAGGAATTGGACATTCAAAGGGAATAAGTGTCAGCGTTGAAGGAGGTGGAAGTGGTGTTAGTGACAAACGTACCAACTGTACCATATTTATTGTGTGTCTGGTAATCAGACAATGAAAGCAAAGTTCGAGTTGGGTGTCCAATTGTGCGCTTGGCAGAACGCTGTGAAGCCATATTTTCAATTTGGGGTATGCGATAGACTTACCTCCACGTGGTGCACCCTGGGCAACGTATACTCATGCGGTAAGTCTATAAACCGGCAGTTGACTACTGAGTTCAAACTATCATGAGCCCACTGTATGTCACATTTGACCACTTCCACAGTACTCACCTCACCTTTCATCCACCTTTGTGTCTGTCACTTTTACATCTTTAAAACACTCTTCTGTCCCCCCCCCCCCCCCCCCCCTCCTAGACTTTTATCGCTTTTATGCTCTTCTCCCTCTGTGAAGCCTGAAGTCAACTAAAGGGGTATTGACAACTATCATAAAGCCTGCCATTTGATATAATAACTATTTTCAATTTTCAAAACAAATGGATCGGTTGATGAGAATTAGAGGTTGAGCATAACAAGGACATTCATAACTTAGTCACACAAAGCTCGCTTAAAGTGATAACGAAATAGCTCATTGACTAACTCCTTTATGAAATTCAGGGCCAATAACAAAGCTCTCGTGTGTCTACTGAAACGGCGTGAGGTAACATTAAGAAAGGTCAATCTTGCGAACTGTTCTTTGTTAACTGACAAAGGTTTCCAAGCCCTACTTTCATGCAGTAATCTTCAAGTTATTCACTTTCCACACTGCAGAAATCTGACAGTAAGTTTGGTGCAATTTATAACAAAAAGTACTTTTTCAAGGATGGATTTGTAGGGAGCCTTATTCAAGCTTGTCCATCTCTGTTAAAATTGAACCTATCTAACACAGTCGTGTCGGATAAATCCATTCTGCAATTAGTAATGTATGCATAGAGCACATATACTCCTTAATATTCAATTTGCAGATATTCCCAAAAACTTTCTTGGCTTTCAATTGCCCATTGCTTAAATATCACCGATGCAGGTCTGAGTTTATTCAAGGGATCGAAATTATCATCGATCGTGGAACATATCAACTTATCAGGATGCGCAAATATAACCTCCTGTGGTTTGACCGATTTTGTGGAGACGATGAAAGGCGCACATACGTGGATACTCAATGATCTTCCAGAGTTATCCAAAGAAGCTCTGAGAATCTTAATCTCGAAGGCGAATTTAAGAAGTCTTGAAGTGAGAAAAGGAAAAACCCCCACGAAATATCCCACAATTGAGAAGAAGATAAATAACTTTAAAATTGAGGAATCTGAGATCACAAATGACCGCTCCGTTATCGTCATCAAATCTGCTAATCTAGAAAAGCTTCGCATTTATGGAGACCATACTCTGGCAAGCATTGAGCTGAATTCAGACAAATTGACAAAATTGGACATTGTTTACTCTCCACACGTAGATTTTCTATCTCCTTACTTCATTTCCATATCTAGGTGGATAATATTACGTTCAAAGGGCTGACGAAATTGACAGCAATAAGATGTATTAACCTCTCTCATTGCTACAGCCTAAATGATCGATCGATATCAACTATATTAGAATCTAGTTATGTGAGCAATATCCAGGAACTTTATTTGGCGTATTGCTACCAAATTACTGATAAAGGAATGGGGCCGTTGCTGCAAAGGTAAGTGGACGGACAAAGGGCTAACGAATGCGTTAAGATTAACCCATCTGAGTTACCTGAGCCTGGAAGGTTGTTCGGCAGTAACTGACAACTCTTTAAGTGAGCTTAAACATTGCAGGAAACTCTACTGCCTGAATGCCTCAAGAACCGGTATTGGAGAAAAGGTAAATGCTTGCATCAGTTTATCATTGACCCCCCACTAGACCCTAAAGATATTAGGTATACTGCCTCTGTTAACTAGTTTAACCATTACCTGTTGCCAAAATATAACAAACTTGGGGTTGCTCCATCTTGCCAAACCAAGATGTCGACTAGAAGTTCTTTGTCTTTCTCAATGCAAGGTAAGAAATTGAATAAGAAGACTTCGATCTATTAGAATATATCCACTAGAGCAATTGAAGCACTGCTAAGCTACTCTAGATATATCCAGAAACTGGAGCTGAGCAAACCGAAGCCCTCAACCTTAGAGATAATGCAAAATCGATGTCCTTATCTTCATTCCCTCAAGGTATTCAAGTGCTCCAAAATATCGTAAGTTACCAGAAGGGAGATCTTATATAAGAGTTCTAGCGAAACCGATCTTTACCAATTGTGCACAAAGTGTCCCCAATTAAGAAGTCTAGAAATTGGAAAGGGAGTATTTATATCGAAGTAAGCTCGTTTTTTAATTTTCAGCCGTCTTTCCTCCTTTTAGAACGGTTCAAACTGCCCTTAAAACAAAACTGGACGTTTTAAAATACAAAGCTGTCTGTGAATAAAACGTCCCCTTTCCTGATAAACGACAAATGCACTCCAAGCTTTATTCATTTACTTATTATAAAATGCGTATTACACACACGATCATAAACGTTACGTCAGTGTTGTATTATTCAACGAAGCGGGGCTTTGCAATTACTGCAGTAGGGCTGTCCTTGAAAATGTGGAAGTCTGCAGTTGGGGCAAACGCAACCAAAAGGTTGTTGAGGTGGGGATGCACCCAGTATCGAGTGCCATGGTTGCTGATGCTGACCTTGACTCATAAGATCCTCTTGCCTTGGTTGTGGTTGTTGACCCATAAGAGGCATCATTTGAGCCTGTTGGAGGAAATTATCCGTGGCTTGCTGTTGCTGAAAGCTACGATTCACTCCAGCGCCTTGACTCATTAAATTCTGCTGGAAACAAGGTGAAGAAGGGGTAGAAACATTATGATTTCAAAAACCATTCATGTAGAAACTAAACTTACGTGGGTAGGTCCAAAACTCGGTGGCATTTTTCGAGAATCGCGGATTCTTTGATGATACTGAATGAGAAAATAAATAACAGTAGTGTTAGTAAGGGGAAATTTATTGATAATTTCTTTATTTAACCCAAAATCTCATAAAAGAGCGCAAATTTAGCAGAGGCTCCATAGAATCTTGATAAGTTGACACCTTTGGTGACTGTTCTTTCTGAAAAGTTCGATATAAAGTTGGGAATTAAAATTAAAGATGAGGTAAATTAATGGAAGGGGCTAAGTTGTCTATTTATATCATAGCAAGAGCCCCAAACTGAAGAAAAAAGCTCCATATCATTCTGGAAAAGTAATAACATCGCTGAGAAACTTCTCAGGGTCATTATGACCAGCCAATACAACACCTGGCTTGAAAAGAGTAGACATTCTATAGCCATATCCGTATGAGACTCGCGCTCTACCACTATAGTGAGATTAGCAATCCCGCATCACTGAATGTGCGACGATGAGCATTGACCTCATGACTCCCGATTTGCAAGATGTAAACAATGACTACTACGCCACTGTAGTTTTCGACGCCAAGTTTTGCATCACACAGCCTACTCCGTGAAAAATCCTAATACTTCATTCCTCCTTACTAGTGTCCTAGGGGGAGGGGGTGGGGATCGATCTCGTGATCTCTCACTTAATTGACATATATACGGCAATTACTAATTCAACTTAAATCCATAGGGGAGGGTGGAGATCTTACTAACCTGGCTTCGATTACTCGATGGTGTAGAAGGTTGACTCCTGTTGCCAGGACGGTTGAAGCTGCCACCGCTCTTCCTGGCAAACGACAAGGATGTAGTGGGTCTCGTAAACTGATGGGGAGTTGAAGAAACAGGTGACGCGCTGTCCGTCCGTTGACGTTTCTCGGGTGTTGCCTTGAGCCTAGACAATAAATAGAAGAATTAGCATTCTAGATGGTTCAACCACCATTCACAGACTTTACTCATAACTTAGGAGAGGGCGTGTACATAAAAAAGCAATAGCTTAAAAGAAGACTGAAAAGAGCACACGGAGAGTAAACTGTCTAAAAGCCCATATACAGGTCTTCGAAAGACCCTGTTTTAACCCGAGACAATGGGGAGGAGGGGGGGGGGGACTTATTTTATAAATTTACTGTTTGAGCGAGGTTTTATATATGTGCATTAGTTCCTCAAAAAGGTGGTTTCGGAGTAAACGAATCTTCAAGTTAATAGTGTGTTTAGGTGTATAGACAGAACAATGTTAAACATTTGACCAGGCTACTGTGATTACTGGTATATAAAGGAAATTAAAACTGGCTTTACAGTAGATCAACTTAAAATGGAAATATGACTATCCAGTCCCAACTGATGCTTTGATCACAATTGTACAGTTAGACGAGTTCTAAACTCCCGATTAAAGAGGCTAGATGATGTGGACACGACCGATGAACAATTAAGGCACTACATATTTACAGAATGACAATGAATCAATTAACGATAGGGAGAAAACTGGCTCCTAGGCATTTTCACCTAACCAAGGTTAATATGTACACAGATGAAAGAAACAAATGGATTTCCTTATAGGTAATGCACTTAAATCAAGACTAAACATAAATACACTTGACTAAATAGACCATCTGCATGTCAGGAAATCGCATCAAATAATTATTAAGCAAAGTTCGTGGTTTCAGAATGATAGCCTCGCTGAAAACAAGATCAAGTTGTTTTTTATAAAGGAGTCAGACAGTGTATACTACTGTAAACTACGAGTATAAAGTGACCTCTATTGAGATCTGTCAAGTTGAAATTATGTTAGCCACTGAAGTACGAAGGTTATTTCTGAAGTGATTCCACAACAAAATGAATTAACCCACTGGTTGACATGAGCTCACTCTGATAACAGGAGACACAACTTGATAATTCGAGCATGAAGCATTGAGTGCAAACCAAAAATGAAAATTCTACCATTTGGGCCCAAGCTCCTGATTTCAACTTCAAATTACACTCGTTGCACAGCCTCTTTACTGCACTGATTAATTTTTGCTGAAAAAATTACTAGAATGTTGTGAACAATAGGTGCAAAGAGCACTAAGCCAAGGAGATGGTAGACGAATCAGTCACAATACATCGCCAACTTGTGCACCATGAATGGCAAAATGACGAGGAAAGAGAAAAAATTGAGGGTGCATCAAGCGGGAAATAAAATTTCCTAATGAGAAAAGACATAAATAGGCGGGGGTGGGGGTGGGAG